CGCACCCTGCCAACTAAGGGGGCCGTTGGCCACCACCTCGATCCGGCGCCCATCGGCCGCTGGCACATCCAGGTTGAAGTCACGCAGTGCGACATGGACGGCGGTTCGGGTGCCGCCTGCTCAAGGGGCCTGCTCTCCTGGCCAGCACACCAACTTGCGCGCATGCGGAGCGGTGGTCCCCGTAGACGTCCAAGCCGCCACCACAAGAGCAGCGCCGCGGGGCAAGCGGGAGGGGTAACCGAAGTCTGCGGAGCAGCATGACGCGGTACTCCTCGTCCGGCACTCTGGTATCAAAGGTGGCAAGCAGTCCGGACAGACATTGGTGGTGAATTCCAAGGCGAGTTTGCTGCAAAGCTCAAAGAACGGGAAGTCAGACATGAACGCTCCTTGCCGCGTCGTCCGCAAACCAACTCTCGTGCTGAGCGTTTCCACCGGACAGTTGCAGAGGGCATGGCTTGCTATGGCTTGCTATGGCTTGCTATGGCTTGCTTATTTGTTGCGTCTGGAGTCCCTATTCGCCCTTTCTTTCCACGCAGTGCTCGAAATCCAAGACGTAATACGACTGCAGCCGGCTATAACGGCTATAACCCAACACAACACCACGCCGTCCATGCTCCTCAGAAAGGTAGTAGCAAGCGGAGCCGAAGGGATGCAATTTGCTCAAATCGTAGGGGCGATTGAAGCGGAGCTGGTGAGGAGACTCGGCTCCATTGGCACCAGGGCTGCGCGCGTAAACAAGGAGGAAAGCCATGAGACAGAAAGTCCAAAATGCAGCACGGATTGTACACACAAATTACACACACGTGATGTGCGCTTTGCGCCTCAGTTGCGCTGGCCATTTCATGAGCTGGGCATGGACACCCCTGACGCAGCGCACTGGGCCCAACGTTTGTTCGAACTGGAGGTGTTGCAGCCCACGCCCGTTGCTGGCGATGACGGCCATTGCGTACTTTGCGGGCTGTGGGCCGTCCACTGATGCAGAGGTCCACTGTCGGGGATGTTTGCTTGGTGGTGGTCGTCGTCGGCATGTGGATGGCCCCGGCTGCCTTCGTGCTCGGTGTAGTGGTCGTTCATTTCTTGACGTTCCGCGCGCGGCGTCAAACGAGACAAGTGTTGACTACTCCCTGAGCCTGCCCAGCCGTGATGGGGCCGTCATCGACTCCTCCGTGGACTCGTCATGGCTCCAGATCTCCGATGTCGCATGACATACACGATGATGTTCATGACATGACGATGATATGATTCCACCCCCTGACGATGAAGGTGATGGACGTCATCATTCGGATGCCCAGCTTCGCCGACCTCGCTGGACGCACAGGCGCCTCCTCGGCACAACTACGGCCCTCAGTTCGATGACAGCCTGGATAGTGGCCTTGTACCGCCTCGCCCATTTGGCCCCATCGAGTCCGATGTCACATCGACGCGCAGACGATGTCACATCTTCATCTGGGCGATCACGGTCTCGCCGCGGGTCGCATCCATCGGATGCAGATTCGGAACGTGCTTCTCAAGGCCCAACTGTCGCACAAAACCCTGCGTCTCCATCACACATTGGATCACATCCATCCGATGCTGATTCGGAACGATCCAGGCCAACTTGCAGCAATCACAGTCGGACGAGCACTGAATTGCGGCCGAACGGCATACACAGTTCGGATGCTGATTCCGAAAGGACGCAGCAGCCGAGCAATGTTCTTGACAATGGGGCCATCTCCTCCACGGTGTCGTTTGAAAGTGATCGATCTGGGACGGTTCTCACGACGGCTGCAGCGCTCAGATTGGAACAGGAGCTGGACAAGTTGACAACTGAGCTCGGGAAAATGTTCGCTTGTGTCACCAAAATAGCCAAGCGCAAGGATCCGGTTTTGGCGGACACCGGGCAAGGTCTGTCAACGCACGCCACGTATCCTCGTCGCCGGGCGCAAGTTCTGCAAGGGGTGGCGTGCTCTCGAAAGCTGGCCCGTCCTTACTTTCGTGCAGGCCTGTTCCCGCTTGCGCTCGGCGAGGTTTAGGACCTCGCTGCGCGTGGACGTGGCAAAATGGCGCGCATGGGCGCACCGAGGCCAGCAACGACACCCATTTTGGGCCCCTTGGCAAGCCGGGCGCTTCCATGCACGGGACGTGCAGGCCCCACTGCTGGAGTCGCGGATGAAGCTCAGCGCAATAACCGACACCATGCGAACGTCCGATCGCTGAACGGCGGACATCATCGGACATCTTGCAGTGTAGGCACAAGGCATCGCAGCTCCGCGGTCACATCGACGGCGTCAAGGGCCGCCCACGCCACTTCCGGGACAGCCGCCGTTGTGTTTGTCATTGTTTGTCGCAATGTCGGCAGGTCCAGCTCCTACCAGCAAACAGGCGCGCCTTCCTCGTCTTCATCGCTGCGCGGGGAAGCGCGGTTCGCGCATGATGCGTGGCGGCGGCGGCACGCCGTCGGCCTCGTCGGGTAGGCCTCGGCGGTGCGCATTGTCCGCGATGGCTCGCGCTGCGGCGGCGCCTCGAATGCCGGCATACGATTCGAGCAAAGCTGACTGTGCCACCGCTGTTCGGTAACCGTCCGGGCCCATACACAACAACACAGCTGCCTGCAACGGCAACGGCGCGTCAGGCAGAGCTTCCAGCGCGACTCCAGGTCCTCCGCTGCTACGCTTCGCTGTGCATCGTGCGCTCGCAATCTGCGACGGCATGCATCGACCGCGCTAGTTCAAGTGTCTGAATTGGCTGCGCTCTGCGTTATAGGGCGGCTAGCTCCCTGAAACGGGGGCCAAGAGTCGGGCATGCTCCCCAAGCTTGTTCGGCCCGTGCACTGAGGTTACCGGTTCCCGCGTAGGAGGGGGACGTACTATACAGCCAAGAGTTACGCTCGCCGATTTGGGCGGGGCGAGCGTCTTGCCATGGCAGCGGCGCATAGCGGCGCGACGTCGTCGGGCGGCGTGGGTACGGCCATGCCTGGGCAAGCCGGACGAACAGGCACGTGAACATGTGCGGCCTGTGTGGGGGGGGCGGGATAAAACCCGGCGTCGCCTCGCCCGTCGCATTTGGTGCCAAGTCGCCGTTGAGTGGCCGTTTCTTTTCGTGGGGAGGCGAAGGGGTAGTGTCGCCAAGCGAGAGCGTCTCGGCGGCGTCCGCGTCCGACCTGTGGTCGCGCTGTGCATGCTGGTGCCGCCTGGCCGTCCGTCGCCGCGCGGCCCGGCGGGGGGGTCGCGGGGCCGACCGTGGTGTCGGCCCCGATGCTTGAGAGAGTGGCCTCGCCCCGGTCCTTGGTGCGGGCCGAAAGCTAGCACATCACCCAACTGCACGGGGCGTGTGGCGATAGGTGGCCGCGCACCTTCCTCCCCTCAATTGTGCCCACATTGATGAAGAAGGTTTCCCTAGCGGGAAATGCCATGCACCACAGTCATTGTGCGGTCGTCGCAAAACATCTTCGATGAGCCAAGGCGCAGGCTCCGAATGATGTTAAGCGAGGCACTGCAAGATGGGTGCCTTTTTTCTGTGAATCAAAGGCTTCCTTGCGATCCGTGAACAACAGCCCAAAGGGAAGCTACCTCGCCCTGCGCAAGATGCTGCAAGGTCAACCGCCGCACAACGGAGTCCCTCCTGTATAGCAACCATGTGCTGCCAAAGATCCGGATGAAGTTGCGTGACTTCTTGGGCTTCAGCTTTGCAAGGGCAGCAGCGAGTCGTGACAAACCGTAGGTCCTTGAGTCTTGTATGTGGGGTGAAGACGTTGTTATATAGACTGCACGCAAGGCAGCTGTTAGACTGACGCAAACGGACGAGGTCGGTGGACCTAGCTGGATGGGCTGGGTGGCTCCGCATCCAGACGGGCGCAGGTTGGCAAGCAGCACTTGCGGCGGCAACATGTGGCAAGGTCGAGTGGGGTGTCACACCATCCGGCAATCGCTGCGTGCAAAGCGTTTCGTTGGACGATTGGAGTGCATGTACGTCATTTACTCCGTGCCTTGCGGCGACTATTCCATCCGCCTCCTCGCACGTGCCGTCCTGCCCCACGGTGCATGGCACCTACCCCCACGTGCGCTCAACGCTGATCGGCTGCCTGTCCCTCCCATGTGTTGCGAAGCATTGGCCTGCACAATATGCAACCCACGGTCCGCGAGGCACCTTGCGCTCGGATCCGCGGCGGCCGATTTCTTCTCGCACGACAAATTTCAAAGCTGCCCGACGAGGCTGAGACGAGGCTGAGTCACCTGCGCGAGCGTCGGCCCTGCACGCTCCCTTCCGGGCCTTGCTCCAGTCAAGTCGACCGTGGGTCACAATCATTCGATTCGATTGCTCATGCAAATCCACATATTATAGGGATCCCCCAAAAAGATACTCCAGACAGCACCGCGCTGCGCACACCAAGACTGCGCAGCAAGTGCTGCAGACTGCTTACTCCATGCCAAGCTGTAATTATTCTAGAGTTGGCGATCTGCACAAGGAGTTCGACGTGGCCCTGGATCGCGTCCGCAGCTGCCGGTTGAAGGAGCCGCAGCACGTCCCCACGGAAGACTGTCGGCTGGTTTGATGCACTGCCAGGCTGGTCTTGCCTTGTTGGAGGATGTTCCAGGCCTTCGTTGCCTTTGCGCACGCACATGCACGCACATGCTTTCACTTACACCATTGCTAAATGGGCCAGCGTGTCCAGCAGTCAAACAACGACGCGGCATGACGCGGCCAGCTTGCCCATACCCCCAGTATGGCAAAAACGCGACTGCAATCGCACCACTGACGCTTCGAGCATACAAAACGCTCGCACTACAACCCCTCCACGACCAAACCAAGTGCGGACACAACACCCTGATGACAGAGTAAGGCAAGGGAGGCAAAAGCATCACACGGGCCCTGAAGTGCCAGGACTTCCGATTCGAAGGGGTCCAATGGGCTTTCCATGACCAACGGCGCAAGCTGATTGCTTAACCAATTTTAGCCATGGCCATGACTCCATCCATTTCAACCCCTTTCAACCCCTACACGGCTTGGATGGCTTGGAGGTCCTCCGCCGCAGCGCGGCGAAGCTTCGTCTCCAAGTCTGTCCTGCAAGCTCTGGGCACTCCCCCCCCTTTGCCGCTCCAAAAACTCTCAGAAACTCGAATTTGCCCCTGAGGCCGCAACCCTGGAGCGTCCTCTCTGGATGCCTCAGCGCTTCAAAAGGCTTTGCGATAGACGTGCCCCGATGTGCCGAGATGTGCCGAACCGCTGCAAGACCGAAAACGGCAAGCACCCAACCAACTCTGATAATGTCCGGGCAAGCACCTGCAGATGCGACTCAGGCAAGGAACTTCCGTTCTGCCGTCAATCTCAAGGCTTTTGTGAGGCTTCGGCAACCCGAGCTGGCATGGCCACCGGCAAGCACTGCGTCCATTCCCAACATCACTGGGTGCTCTGTTACCAACTTCTGCAGAAAATCTGGTGGGCTTAATACGTGGAGGCTATTCTTGTCTCTGAGGCATTCTGAAGCTATTCGTAGTATGAATCTTGCGGCAAGTACAGGATCCTACTAAAGGACAACGGAATAGAGGTTTTTCTTTTGGGGAAGCCAAGGAAGCAGAGCCAAAATCACGAAGAATTCGAGCAACCTGAAAAAGGAATCCCACGAAAAGTTGTATGAATCTCGTGAAATATAGAGAGAATTAAGGTTTTCCTAGGAAAAGCAAGTTAAGATGCATTACTCCTAGTCATATTTGGCTTCCTTTTCGTATTTGTAGATTAATTAATTCCGCAAATCGTATCAGAATCCCCACAGTTCAGGGACTATGCCCCCTGTAATTCACGGCCCCATAAGGAATCCCCGAAGTGAAGAAGTATTCGACGTTCCTGTCGTTGAGCTTTATTTTGCACTTCGGCATGCAGACACCAAGATCAGCAAGACTGCAATCCATGACGCTTGCTACACAGAGACAAGTTTCATGTGAACTCTTGTTAACTTGGTAAGACGTCGATGAATTCTGCTAGAGTCCTGTTTCTTTGGTTTTCCCGAAGACGAGCGTCTCCCTCGATATTTTCAAATAAAAAAGAAGCGGTGGGGATTGGCGGGGAGGGGGGGTGGGGGGGTGGGGGGGGGGGGGGGGGGGGGGGGGGGGGGGGGGCAGCTCCCCCAATTTGCAAACACAATGTTATGGGTTTCAAGACTCATCTGCTTTTAAATAGCAAGCTTTGCACGGCTCGAAAAGGGGGTGGGGTTTGGGGGGCAGAGGCAGCCTTCCCCCGTTTGCAAACACAATGCTCGCATACGTACGGGAAACCGGAACCCTGAATTCTGAACTCTAAACCCTCAAGCCCTGAGCCCTTTTCGGATGGGAGTGAAAGACACAGAGAGAAGAAGAAGCAGAAATCCCGGACCCCCTTCTATGCTTTGAAGCAATCTTTTTCCTTTTCGACATGTTTTCTTTCTGTATTGTTTCTTTCGTTGTTTTGTCTTTCTTTCTTCATTTTACATATGTTTTCTTTCTGTCGTTTTTCTTTATGTATTTATTTCTTTCTCTCTTTATGTATTTCGTTATTTCTTTCTTGTTTTTTTCTGTATTTATTTCTCTCTTTATTTGTTTGCTTCTTTGTTGTTTTGTTTGTCTTGTGTTTCCCTTTTTTTATGTTATTTCATTTATTTCTGTCTGTCTTTCTCTATTTCTGTATTTCTTTCTTTCTTTCTTTCCTACGTCTTTCTTTCGTTCTTTCGTATTTGTCTTGTCTTTCTTGATTTCTTGATTTCGTTGTTTGTTTGCGTATTTCTTTCTTTTTGAAGTTTATATATTCTATTCTTTGTTCAGATATTCATTTCTTCCGTTATTTCTTCTTTATATTTTTCTTTCCTTCCTTGCTTCTGTCTCTCTTTACGTATCGTTCTATTCTTTGTGTTTCTTTGTCCACCTTTCTTTCTTTAAGAATTGTTTTTTTCATTTCTGTCTCTTGATTTCTGTGTTTCTTTCTGTCTACTTCTCTCCCTATTTCTCTCTCTCTTTCTCTCTAGTTCTCTCTCTAAATTGTTCTCTCTATCTCTCTTTTTTGACTTGCTTCCCTCCTTCCTTCCTTCCCTCCCTCCCTCTTTCCTTCCTTCCTTTCGTCCTTCCCTCCTTCCTTCCCTCCTTCCTTCCTTCTTTGCTTCCATGCTTTTTCTTTCTTCTCCTAAACCACAGAGGGAGCACAGGTTTTCCTAGGAAAACCAAGAAAATAGACCCAACAAAAAGCACACCCCCAAAAATAGGCCTTCCTCCCAAAGGTCTCACGAGCAAAGGACGCTCAAATTGTCGCTCCCCGTAGTTTTGAGCGGCACATTGATCTCGCGCACGTCTCGATGTTCGTCTTGCATTCACACATCGTCTCATGAAGGAGCGTGGCTCGAAGCATGCTCCTACGGAAACAACAGGTGAACACGCAGCAGCCGCGCAAAGCATCAAGGACGATACAGCTCTGCAAAAGAATCTAAAATCAGTTGCTGGTCTGACGGCGTCGCTGCTGAAATCGGAGGAGTATGAGGAGTGAAACGAGCAATCTGTTTAGAGTGCTGCCTCCCTTGCGCGAACTCTACCCATGCAACTATGCGAAGTCCGATATGCCATATGCACTGCTTTGGGGGAGAAGACGAGACATAAGTGCAGCATTGCATTGGTGGCTGGGAGTTGGATGATGCTACAAATGACTCTCTTTACCTCAAGGCAAGGCAGAAGTCCCTTCAGGATGCTTCGGGTAGCCTGACAGGACACGGCTTGCAATCCCAGGCCCAGGCACATGAATTATCATTAATTCCGATGCCTCTTGAGACCGTGAGACGCATTAGAGATGCCGACCTTCCACATCCCCTCCCAAGAGATTGTCCGCCCAAGGCTCCAAGGTTTCCAAATGCACACCCCAGGCTTCTTCCTCCGGCTGCGGCGGCTCTTGACTGCTGAACTCTGAAAAGTCAGCAAGCTGCAACAGCAATGCGAAACACCCATAAACTGTGATAAAGCAAGAGCACTTGAGATGCATCCTTGCGCCTCAAACCCGCTTCTTTGGAGCTGCTTGCACGGAACAGCAAGCTAGCCAACCCTGACAAGTTTCTCCAGTGCAGCTGCCCTAAAGGAACGACGCCATGACACGTTGTGACACGACAGGTGGTGGTCCATGCACTTCCTGTCGATACAGCACTCATGATGGTCATGATTCAGGTATTCTGGCGCCTGGGCGTCTTCGTTTGAAGAGCGTTTGGATGGCGAAGTCTTCTCTCGGCACTCCTGCAGTGGGCACCGAGAATGTCTCGCAGTCAGAACTTGAGGGTTCCAGCGGACTGTGCGCCATAATTAGTCCGATCTATCCATGTTTCGTCACGCAGATGGAGTGCTTGGTGCCCATGCCACCTTATAAAGGGTCGGCATGCTTCCAATTATACTGTTCGTCACATGTGCAGACGCAGTGTAGACTTTCCACCTGACCTGTATCCGCGGAGTCAGGGGAAACTTAACTTGCCTCGGCCCCAGCCATGGGCGTCAGAGTTTCCCTTTGCGGGACCTTTTTGGGATGGCAGGCTTTACGGCCGAAGCTGTGCGCTCGGACTAACAAAGTTTCAAGTTTCAAGCGCGGAACGGTTAACTTGGGTGAAGCCTTCCTCTACATCGATTTGGCATTGCCAAAAAGAGTACGAGATCTGGGTTGATCTCCTTTCCACGCTTGCCCTATCTTGCCCTGGGCGGCCATTTGGTCTCTCGGCGAGCCCCACCACCCTTTGCCCATCAAGCCAGGCCGAGGCGATCGACCAGACGTGCAGCATGCACAAGTAAATTCTGCCGAACCGAAAGCACGTCAGTCTCGCAGTGACCACAAGCCTGTATAATGGCTGGCGGCTAACACCAGACAACAAATTTTATTATGGACAATACCAGCCAATGAATTTGGCTCCTCGAAGCTTGCCCGAACGGCAATCTCGTGTCTTCGCACAGCCTCCTGCGCACGGCTTCTGGGGAAGAACGGTCGGTGTCGCGTCGAAGCGATGTTCCACTCTTAGTTCAGCCACTACAGACTTAGGATTTCCGTCCTGCGAGGAAGGAGCCGATGTCTTCGCACACCCCTGCAAGCCAAGTTCAAATCTACCACCTGCAAGGAATTGGTGAAGGCCTCCCTTTGCGACTCCCCTTCGCAATGCTCTGTTTTTATCCAACAGGATGGCCAGCTCCAGGGCGCACCTCTGCCTTCCGTTGCTTGGACTTCTGCGCCTCTCACCGACAGTTTATTACAATATACTGAGATGAAACGAAAAAGCTTTCATCGGATTGGCTTAGAGGTCCAGATGATTCTAAACGCGTAGGGGGATATACCAGATCCGTGCTCCGACCTGCTTGAGCTCCCTCTCCAAAGCCTGCAGGTACTCAATGGCCATGGAGAGCACAAAGGAGACAACATCCAAGAACTCGCCGCCTCTATCTTTGAGCGGCTCTGCTGCAACTCCTCCTGACAGCGCTTCATCTCCACCTGTCCCATTTGAGGCAAAAGGAATGTCGAACTAAGGTCGTCCGACGTTGTCCAGCCTCGAAGATGTGGCACTGCAGACTTGAAACTTCATGATCTCTCTTTGCCCTCTCCTGGAAGCAATCTTACAAAGGCATCTATGCGTTTGCAGAATTCTCAACGGTATCATCTGCTCAACACGTGGATCGTGTGTTAGGCTCAAAGAACATTGACGAAGGTGGCCATGTCTCGGACATGCGAACCCTAGTCATGAAAGCCTCAAACTCCAGGGCACGTCTGTGCATCACCGCCTGCGCAAAGGCTTCGCAAATCCAAAGTTTCCGAACTGGACAGAGAGTTACTCACAGCTCTTCAAACCTCAAAAACACAGACATGCGGGAGTGGTGCACCATCGCAGACAGTTTTCTGTACCGCACACAGCGAAGCTGAAAGTTACAACGGATAGAGGGTGGCAGAAGGCTTCACGAAAAAGTCTAGCGTGAATTTGCGCCGCATCAGAGGCGGCAGCGAGCAGCGAGCACAGCCAGTTGGCACCAGCACCAGGCTTACTCCAGCACGAGGGCTGACGGCCTGTCAGTGTCCGTCAGCATTGCAGAAATAGCACGAGGAAACACTGTGAAGTGAAGTGAAGTGAACTCGAGACACGCTGTCTCCTGGGCCCCCCCTGCCTTCGGCAAGTGCGCAAAGCAGTCAAGGTTGAGAGAGAAATTAGCATCAACACACCTGGTCCACGGACAGCATGACTCAAAATCTTACTGAAGCTACGGCGCCAGGAAAACGCGTCTTCCCGTAAGCGTTCAGTGTCACAGTTTGGAACCATGTGTGCAGCTGAGAGGCAAAAGGTGGCAGTCACAGACGACTCTGCCACACCATAGAACCTGCACGAGCTGGCTGATTCAAGTGCTCAAAATGCTCAAAGAACGCAAAGAGCTTCGGTACCCGACTGTAAGACGTAGCTTGGTGCCTTTCGTCTAATGCAGCGCCTTGGCATCCTGGTCTCGCTTGTCTCCAGGGGTTCTGCAACTTTCTGCTCGAACTGGAGGTTCTCGTGTCCAACGTACTGGCCTTTACAAACAGATCGCGCAGCATCCAGAATAACAACGATTCTACCATGTCCATGGCCACATTACACAACCCCTCCCCTGTTGTGGCAAGTTGCTCAGTATGTAGCCAAAGACCTGACGTCATACGGCTGCCAACGAGGCTACTCTGCACTCACTCCCTGAAGTTGCCAACTGAAATTTTCGCAACTTGCCGGCTGCCCCACCCGATCGAGCTCAAAGGGAGCATCCAGCTGCTGCATGGACACGGCAGCTGCAGGATCAACCTCCAGAGCAGAGGGCATGAACAAATCCCGGATCAGTAGCGGCCTTCGACGAATCGACGTCCAACAAGAAGACTTCGAAAGACTGTCAAAAACCACGGAGACTCTGCTTGGCCTCATGTTCTTGGTGACCATTCGGAAGGCCATTCACCACTTCAGCTTTCCAACAGCCTCGCAACAAGGAGATGCAGTACGAACTCAACCACGTCGATGAAACGAAAGCAGAGCAAAGGACTTGCCCACCTGGACAATCTCGGTATGCTGGCCATCGCCGGTCGACAGCGGCCTTCCACTGGTTGTTGTCGCTTACACGACTAGTCGTTCCTGCACCCCTCCAGTAATGAGGGAGGGCAGACCAGAGGCTGCGGGCACCGGCTGCCCCCTATCTTGCATGAGGACGTGTACCAGCATCACCCTAAACCTTGAACATGATCTCCGATGTCGGTTTTGAATGGTTTTGATGTGTCATGTCTCTGTACTCGACATTCTTTTTTGCACCCTGCGCACCACACAAATAATCCGAAGCATACTATTCTCTTCGTAAAACTTTGAACTTTGAACCGGCTCAGTTTTCGGGTGTCCCAAGCCTGCCTGGCTGTCAGTGGGCGGATGCTCCGCCAAGACTCGAAGAGACACTGCATTGTGCATGCGCCAAAGCCACCACACCATCCGCTTCGCCTGCCAGAGACAAGTACAAAGCAGTGATAAGCAGTGTGCAGGATTGCGGCCTTGCGCCACCGGTGTCAAGGCTATGGCATGATCGTCGAGGGCGCCTGCAGCGGCACATCCGCCGCTTCAAGAACCAGGCAGCGGCCATAGAGGCATCCTTGTGAAGCTTCAGCTTCTCAAGTCCGGCTCTAGGATGCTCTAGGCTCTTCTGGGCTCACCCCTTTCACCACACTTCGAAGAACACGTCGCAATGCCCAAGATTGTGGCAAGATGCCGTCGAAAGCTTCGAGGAAGTGCTTCCTGCCAGCCATGACTAAGCAAGTGGCAGCACTGCACTGTCTCGGCCATTCTCGGCCGCATGTGCAGGGTGGCTGTCCTGCAACCCTGACATGTCAGGAATTCAGCAATGGCCATTCGAAAAAAGTCCATTGCCTGGCACTCAGGGAAGCGAAGTGTCTGCTGATTGTACTGGTGAAGGATTGGCCTCGGAGACTGCGGCTGTCCGCGTGGAGCCGTGTTCAGTCAGCGGTCGTCCAGTCACAGCTACCTCGAAGCTGCGATGTGCACCGGAGGAGATATTTTCTCAATTTGTCTCAATCCGGCGCTTTTCAGAGTTTGGCATCGTAGGCCCTGGGCAGCTGCAACTGAAGCCGCAACGACATGCAGCAGCTGCCAAACCTCGGTCGTAGTGGCGGGAGCTCGAATCAAGGATCTAGCATCCGCAACTGGCGAAGCGGGGCAACTGCACAGTACAACTTGTGCACAGACTGGTGGCAGCACACGTCTCATCTGCGCAGAAGACGTGCTCTCTCTGCGCGAAGAAGCCACTCCACTGCACATGCCCAGGGATTAACATATTCACATTTCAAGCATCTCCCCTCATGCACCCCACCGCTGAACTGAAAGAACGCCGGAAGCAAGCGCTGAAAAGCTGAAAAGGGTTTGCAGATCACTCTTTGCGCCATTAGATGCTTGGGATGGCTCAGCAGTTCAGAAAAATCTTGAACTAGTGAAAATACTGCCACCTGCACCGGCCTTCTGCAGCATGCGGCGCATCTCGTGTGATGGGACTGGGCCACTCTCCTGTATCTGCATTACCTGGGTGACTTGTCAGTGCATCCCATGTTACGACTGCCTGCTGCCAACCAGCAAGCGAGAGAGGCGAGAGAGGGAAAGAGACAGAGAGCGAGTAAGAGCGAGTGACACCGGGAGCACGCTTAGTTCTAACTTGTTTCACTTACTTGTAACTTTCAGATGTTTTCCACCAAAGTTATACCTTGCTCTTCTCTTCGAAGGGGTGGCCAAACACCTTGCTTAGGCAATACCTTTGGTTTCGTGCGTGTACGCCTTCTCGGGCTTAGGCTTAGGGCTTTTGCCACCCAAGAGCTCCAGGGTTCGCTGCCTGCAGTGGGAGCATCCCTGTAGCGGGGGGTAGAGCCTTGAGGCCCTGAGACACACCAAAAAGTTACAAGCAAGCAAAAATAGTTGCAACTAAGCAGAATAGACTTACAACATGTTACAACTAACAGCTACCAGCGAAACCCAGCGAAACTGCCCAGGCACTAAGTTGCGGAAATCGGCCACATGGCGTGGAAACACCTGCGCCACGAAGCTGGTGACACGGACCGCCGCTGTATGCTGCTGGGGTCCAGAGTAGCCTGACCCGCGGAGACAAGAACAAAAATGCTCAACTGAACACACAACTTGCAAAGTCAGAGCGACAAGTCTTCAGACGCCCCGCCTCCAAGCAGCACCAGCAGCCCCAGCCGAGCCTCGACGAAGCGCTCGTCGTCAAGGTGAAAGTCCATGGGCCAACCTCCAGTCTTCTACTTGGTCCATAGTTTGGCCCATAGTTTGGTCCATAGCTTGGTCCATAGTTTGGTCCATATAGTCTTCCAATGTCTTCCAGTCTCCAATTAACTTTGCGAAAAATCCACTTTCACGGTGACTTCACACGATTGTTACGATGTTCATTCCACAGCGGCAATGGAGCACGGGTGTGCAAAGGGCACGAACAAGGCTGGCACATGCTGATACTGAGGAGCCTGTCTTGCGGGGAGGCCCATCGACTGCTAAGGCATTGCCAGTGTCACCCGATCCATGGAAGACCGCACCTTTGGCTCAGGAGTAAAGATTTCATGTGCTCCCAATGTGTTTACTGTAGTGGTCGCAACGTTCACGATCTTCCAAAGTTCTTCATCCCGTCCCTACCTTTCTCAAGACCTTCAGGATGAGGCGGGGTCCAGGATGCAGATCGCTCTGAAAGCCAGTGTGCCAACTCCTTCGCAGATTTCTGGTGATCACCCTCGAAGTGCGGCACGTCATACAGCAAGTTCAGCCCTTCAGGCCCAACCTTGGCAAGGCTGAGCCATAGCCACAACATCTGACAGAGTCTGACACAAGTTGACACAAGTGTGTGCTGAAGCTGAGAAGCTTTGTAGGCCCGTAGCGTAGGATAGCGGAAGATCTTCATGGCGTCGCAGGCATCCTGGTTTGCCTCGCACGTGACTCGCTGAGTGCATGACTAGGAGAGGCGATCTTCAAAAGCGTGGGATGCTGTTGAGAGACAGCTGTCCCTCGCCCTTCTTCCTATGCTCGTGCCTGCTCAGCGCAGTTGCAGGCAGCTATGTGGATGGTGCCCGATCCGCTGTAGGCTTCCGCAATCTGCCGAAAAACTGGGGCAAAGTACCAACAATGGGGACAGCCAGATGAGTAATATTCCACCAGCCAGACTGGAAAGCCTTGTCCAGCAATTTGACCGTGTCTTTCAGTGAGTCGGCAGCCGTCTGCGGTGAGAATGTCGATGGGCCCGCCGGAAGGATACAGTGATTTTTGCGAGTCCGTCTCATACAGGTGTGGTCGTGGACTCCAAGCCACATTGGCTGACGTCTGTAGCCTGCCCTGTCCAAGTTCCCAAACCAGAGTCTGGCAGAGGAGGCCAACAAGAAGGGTAGACGCCATTTCGCAAACTCGAAACCGCGGCTGTGCAAAGTTAGTAGGAACACCTCGCTGAATGCACGGGAATGCCTACAAGAAATCGCCTTGCAAACCTTTCTCGTTGCTTTCTCATTCCTTATTGTAGAGCATATGTCTAAACAGCGCAACCCAAACTCATCACTGAGCGTTCTTCTTTCTTGTAGGCCTGCACCCCTTATGTTGCTTCATCTTAAGGGGCGTGGCAAACCTTGTTAAGCCTATACAAGATCAGAATTCGCGACACAAGATCAGAATTCGCGGAGAGCATGGTCTTCATATGTCTTCATGATGCTACATGCCTTGTCGCAGTGAGGGGTGCTAGCACACCCTGAACATTGGAGATCATTGGAATGTACGATCAGATGGGAATGCTTAAGCTCGCTCCAACAATCAGCATTGAAGAAGAGGCTTGATACGAGCACAAGAGGGTTTGTTGAGACTGAATGAACATCCTGCACTTCCGGGCCGCTCATGCTAGTCTACTGAGTCCAGTATGATATATGCTGTCTCGCAGTCCCCTGCATCGCATGTCACCTTTCCACCCTGTTTCTGGGTTGCAGCCTCTCGCTGCTCCACTTCCTGAACCTTGGACTGCAGCATCGCCTGGCACTGATACACTGCAGCACCCAGTCGCATGATGTGGAGCTTCCGTTTTGCGGGACGTGTGTCTCCTGCAGCCTGCCTGCTGAAGCCGCAGGTCACTCTCTTCGACAATGGCCTGCTGGACACGTTGCAGCTCTGACCTCGAAGAAAATTGTCAAGGCTGAAGTTAAGGCATGAAGTCCTACAAGATTTTCACCTCATGTTCCACTTCGGCATGCTTTTTCCACGTCTCAAGTCATTTGAGGACAACTTGGTGTTTGGTGTTCACCTTCGCCCAACAAAAAAATTGCAGAGAGGGCCGCTTGCCGCTTGGAGCCACCTTGAGTCATAAAGGCTGGGGACTCAGCCTTGCATTGGCAAGCTCTGCCCGCAGCCGCTCTGCCTTGTCAAGCAGCTGCAGAGCCAGTTTATCTAAGTCACGCCGACACCGTCGCAACCGAGCCTCTCTAAACGGATCCCAGGGCTTGGGGACGGCCTGGCCAGGTCAACTTTTGAAACAACGCAGACACCCCCTTGCTTCGACAGGCCTCGCCATTCTCGTCTACACCTTGGAGTCATGCGAACTCTATGAGGAACACCATGCGGCTGATTGAAGGTCTCTGTTGCAAGTGGAAAGCTCCCTGCGCTGCATTTCTCGCGAAACCTGGGCGGGCGTGCGATTCAAGAACCTTCAGGATGTTCAGGGCTTTAGGGCTTCAGAATGGTGGGGCTTACAATAGGGTGCCTCAAATCTGCTCGTCGATACGAATTTTTCTCTAAGAGTCTACTGCCCTGTGCAAGAATCACAGTGCAGGTTTGGTCTGCCTCCGCCACCAGACCTAGCGAACTCGACACGAGAAGAATAGAATGGCAGTGAACACACGGGACATTCCCTGAAGATAGCGGCATAGGGCCCCGATGACTTGCCGACGCTTACACCCAGATGCTTGCTGCACCTGCACTGGTGTATGTAGGGCCCTCCTGGAATACCCTGCCTAGCCGATCGGGACACGGATGGGCCAGCTATCCTGCTTTTCACCTTTACGAATGCACACGGACCTGCCACAGACCCTGCCAAGCCTAGGGATCCCCTATGGACCTGTGGACTTCTGCCATGGAGCAGTTGGCTGAAGGATCACAAAAAAAGTTTTGAAATGAACAAGGCTAAAAAAAAAAGGATTGTCAAAACTGAAGGATCAAAGAATGGAGTAAGAGCAGCAGCAGCAGCAGCAGCAGCAGCGGCAGCAGCAGCAGTAGCAGTGAGGCCAAAACAATGACGGGTTTCGAAAGGGCTCAGATAGTAGTACTGCAGTGATGGTAGCAGGAATAGCAGCAGCAATTGAAAGCAGTGGTAATAGGAATAGGAAGAAGTACTAGCAGTACTAGTACTAGTACGAATCGTACTAGTAGGAGTCGTAGGATTGTCGTCGTCGTCGTCGCAGTCGCAGTCGCAGTCGTTATGTTTACTTTTTCTAATTTTGTCTTTGGTCCATCTGCCCTGTGATCCCCTCCGGATGGATTCTTTTCGGCATCCATGCACACTCATGCGCATGGATTTCTGCCGTTTGCCGGTCCTTAACCCGCTCTTTGGACCCTGTGGGTTCCCTGTCTCCGCCTCTCTCGCCCTCTGCAACTTCCTTCTACACCGGCTACGATAACGTTTCTGAAGTCTGCCCTCAGGCGCGGGCAAGTCGTGGCAAACCGAGTTGGCCGCCGTTCTTCTCCACAATCCTAGTGGCATCTTGCGTCTCTCTGCGGCTGTCAGGGCCCCATTCGTATGCTCCAAAGAAGACCAAGTAGGATCTGAGCGAGCGCAAGTTGAGGATCACTTTCGTCGCAGAGTCCTCAAGCTTGCAGAATGCTGGCGGTACTGGTATCAGCTTTCGACAATGACCACAAGATGTCACGAGTATGCCATGATAGCATGCCACCGCTCTCCTTTGGCCCTGAAACCTGCATGGCTTCTTGCAGGACTGCCTCTGTCGAACGCTGGGGACCTGACAGAGGAAAGAACATCGGACTGAGATACGCATGGCAGAGACATGCCAATCTGACCAAGTCGAGTGTCCCCACCTGTTGAGTCCACCCCAAAAGTTTCCTCTGCCTTTGCATAGATGCTCACGGGCTGGCGTGATACTGGCACTTGCTGGCAAAATCACACGGCCCTAAAACCCGAACCAACGCACTAACCACGGGACTCTGAGATGCAGCATGAGAAAGCGCCATAGCACGAGACTGAGTCTGCGGAAGTTTTGGAAGTGAGGCAGCCCAGTGCCATGGCTAGAGCTAGCGAATGCAATGGATCGTTCATTGCATCGTTCATGGATGGTTGCACTCTACGGCGTCGCTTGCTGGGAGTTGCAATCTGAATCGCAATCTGAATCACCTGCGTCGTTGCTCCGGGACTCGAGTTGTAGCCTCAAGAACCACGACTGAGACATGGAAAACTTGAACATGAACCCTCACTCCCTTCTCATGGGCTTCGAGAGATTCCAGAAGCCCCGGGCTGGTTGACGCTTCACTGTCACCTTGGCCATGGGGGTCCATCTCCTGCAAGTCATGGGGCAATACAGGGACCCGGCACCAATGGGGTCTAGGGCTCTTCCACAACTCGGACTCGCTCTTGCGCACACGCTCTTGCACGCCCTCTTGCTGTGCTCCCGCTTTCAGCAACACCTGGCCAGTAAATTGAACCCTTCGTAAGTCCTTCTTCGGAGTCACGTCCATGTCAGGATTGGCCCTGGCCTGGGCATGAGGAACCCAAGCGTTCAAATCAGCGTGCAAGCATGGCGCGGTTCTCCGTGGTACGTGTGATGGTGTGTTTCGCCCGGTCAGCGCACCAAGCAGCCAGCAGCCAGGCGACCCGCAGTTGGGCACCCCCGGCTACAGTAATTCAGCTGCGGCAGAAAGTCAGGACACATCAGTGCAAAAAATCTCAAACTGAAGGTAATTGAGGCTTCATGCCTGCAATTTGTGACTTTAAAGCGATGACTGAAAAGCAGCTGGCCCTCTTTTCTGCGCACTTTCACCATCGCACGTTCTTGGCCTGCTCCAACGTCGGCACCTTGTGATACGAGAAGAGCTCACAGCTATGCTGCCAGCATGAGATAGCATGAGCGAGATATCACACCAAATTCAGCGCTTGAGATGGCCTGGCTCCACCCCTGCAGGTGCTTGCCCCTGCAGGTGCTTGACGTTCAAGACCTACAGTCATGGGAGTCCCAGAGCACTGAGAAGACTGCAGCACAGGCCAGTAGTGGCCACGACGCATCATCAACAGACTTAAGGACTCAAGATGCCCGAAGTACTTGCCTTTGATCTGTCAGCGCAGAAACCACATGTACGCCAGCCTGGCCGCCAAGAAGTGAGCGCAAGCACGCCAAGGGCCAAAGGACCCCTGGAGAGCAAGCCCCTCTCATCTCCCAACAATCCAAAGGCGACCCAACTATTTCAAAAAGGGAACATCTGCAGTTCTTCCTTTATTGGAGTGTTTCCATCCTTGGGAATTGAATGAAGTCTGAAGCCTCATCGATCGTCAAGTCTGCAAATGTTTGCTCCACCTGGCACTTGCAATTCGGCGTTGCAGTTCTTACTTGAGCCGGTGTACACCATAGCCAATGCACTAGTGCTCATGCCCAAGTTTTTATGCCTTTTGGGGCTCAAAGGGAGTTGCCCATGATTAATTACTCTTCAACTCAGTTCACAGTCAGGGACATGTGCAGACCAAGGCAGAACTCAGCATCATAGAAGGACACTGGTTCCCTTGCCCTGCGCCTTTCGGTCTCAACTGCCCTACAGTAGGTCCTCCGCACAACTTCTGAAGCCCGGAGAACCTAAACTCCCAAAACCGAAGCACCAACGGTGCCAACAGCAGCAACCACCACGACAACGGCAGCCACGACCAAAACAATCACAGCCTCCTGTCTCGCATCAGTACCTCGACCTCGGTCTAGCCGCGGTCTAGCAGGCATGTCAGAACAAGTGGAAACCCACGTCTCTGCCGAGGAGTCTTTGCTGCAAGCCCTGCCGCTGACATCCCGCTGTCGTGGGCCACGCCGCTTCATCACGTGTCTGCTGAGTAGCGTGCACAGATTCTGACGGCAGCTTTTGCCTTAGTCTGAGTATTGCAAGGTGCCTAAACTTCCGATGCCCGCGGAACAAGTAAAAACGAGTAACGCCTTGCACACACAAAGAAAGAGAGGGAGGGAGGGAGAGGGAGAGAGAGAGAGAGAGCAAGGTATCTTGTCAGAGCCAAGCGGCGCAGGAACAGCCGCATTGTGCCCTCAGTCAAGCGGCTTAGCTCCTGCAGATGAGCCGTTCCCAAACATTTGCTCTGCGTGCAAGGTAAGGTGAAGGATCAAGTTTAAAATCAAGCCCCGCTCAACAATTCCAACCCTGAATACAAGTCCTGCCAGTCTGACGCATATGCGAGGCTACGAGGCATAAGAGATGTTTGTCTCCATGACTGCACCATGAGGCCCAACATGGTCCAACGGAACTGGGGAAGCAGCTCACGATGCTCTGGCGACTCGCACCTATTGCGAAAGCCTTTTCCACAATCATCTGTCATAAAGCGCAGTGAGCAAGGTAAACCAGAAGTCAAAGCCCAATGATTGCGTCTGAACATCGCAAACAGCAAGTGCTTTGACCCCTGCAAGCCTTGAACTGAAAACCTGTCTGCAAATGATCTTGAACTGCCACAGTCAGAAGTGGTTCACAAAAACCTCTCCCTCCAAAATTCCTTGAACTTCACAGAGGTGGGTGGCACCAGACCCTCCCCACAACAAGACTCGCTCCATTCGAAGAGAAGCTGCGTGGGACCTGAGCCGACAAGGAATGTGGATATCGTCATATGCACAAGCCCGACCCTCAAATTGCTCTGCCCTTCGGCGAAGAGCCGAGTCGCCACTGCTGTCCCAAAGCGAGCTGCGAAGAGCCCATCGAGCCTGCTGTGTGGGATAGCAGGACGACGCAGCAGCCTGCCACTTGTGCAGCTTCAGCAAAACAAAAGAAGGAGCGCTTCGATGCATGTAAAACTACATGTAACTGTATAATTCTTAATGTGACAGATTGTGACAAGCAGACAAGCAGGCACGGCCTGACATGGCAAGCTGTCGTAGAATCCGCCAGCTCCATGTCAAGCGCCACCTTGAGCAGTGTTTCGGGCGAATCCACAAGCGATCTACAAACAAGAGATTCAGTGACCATATTCCAAAGCCCAGACCGCACCTGTGAGACCAACTGCTAGCAGATGTGAACGGCGAGAGCAGCACACTCAGTCCATCAAGCACAACCTCGACATACAAATGCAGTTCAACCACAGCGAAGAGTAGCTCGACATGATTCGACATGTCTGCGCAGCGCAGTACCTGATACATCTAGACTACATTGTGCGGATCAAGGAAAGTGATCTGCGTCGTACAAGACGCACGTAATCTCGCGGACTCTAACGAGCTTCGCGAGCTGGAGCTGAGCGAGCTCACCAATGCCGGCAAGGATTCCCCAGGCTGTGCCAGCGCAGAGACCATGAGCCTGGCAAAGGCCTCGAAAGAAGATCTGAGAAGGTCTGAAAGCAACTTAGCGAGTAGATCTGTTTCGTGGCTTACTGAAAGGCTTTGGCTTGATGGCCCTGAGAGAAGATTTTGCTCCCCTCGCACAAATCCTTGGAAAAGAACTAGCCTTTCGAAGTCTAAGATTCACAAGCGAGGCTCCGTGAAGTCGGTCATGCTAGAGATGCGAATCTTTCCCAACAGCATCTCCATGTCCTGAAAGAACACATCAGAGGAATATCTCCAAACAGCCAACACAGACGACAGGTGCCACATGGTGCAAGATGGTGGCGCAAGGCAAGCTGAAAACCAAGCTGAAAACAACCAAACAGCCTAAAACATGCTCCTAAAAGCGCTCTCCAATGCCCGGCCCTGCCTCCACCTGCGAAGACTGCACAATGGTCTGCAAGCGTTTGGCCAAAGTCGCGGGAGGGTCCTCTCAATGCCCAGCTTCGTTCTGCTTGGGCATGTTCTGGTAAAGCTTCACTGCAGCGCCTTGTTCGTGATGTAGTGGACCGCAGCCCCAGTGGAAGCCGCAGTCGACGCTGCAAGGAAGAGACCCAGCTGCGTTTTTCCTCTGGACCAGCTGCTTTCAGGACTGAAAACCGAAGACATCCGAAGACCTTTCAACCCGATGGCTTTGGACCAGACCACATTCAAGCACATGCCACGAAAGCACGTGCAACGATGTGAACTCCGAAGAATGACCCGCCCCGTACATGTGAGTCCGCTCATTCCTGTTCCAGGGGCGCCGTAGATCTCCACAACTTCTCCACGCCAGAGGCCGCCTGACCATGAGAGCACAAAATCGACCACGGTACAGACGTTTGCGAAGGCCCTAAGACCCTGCATCTCATGCTTCCAGCTCGCCTCCAAACAGGCAGCGATCCACCACGAAGCCAAGGCCGGAAGGCCATGGCAGGGCGAGTACCTCAACTTGCCCAACATCGCCCCACATACTTCTGACTTCAGTGCTGTGTTGTTGTATGTTGAATATTTGCCACATTTTGCATCATTTTGCCACGTGCAAGGGATTCGCGTCAAGGGGGGCCTTCTCCAGTGGCAGGGCAGCTGCCTCACTGTCGGCGCCTTCCTTTGACAGCCACCGTTGAATGCCCGCTTGAACACATGCGACCTGTTTATGGCATTCTATGATCGGTCCTCTATGAGCCCGAGCAGAACATCTGCCGTGACAAGGCGCAGTTGTTCGTCATCCTCCGATGTGGAACACAGTCTTCACCATCCTACGAATCCTACAACTACCACCACCCAGCTTTCTATAACCATGATGCTGACTCTTGCTGGCTCTCAAGACGAAGCCAGACGAAGCTGCACCGCAAGGCAGGTGTGTAACCACGCGGGGCTCCCGGAGCTTGGGCGGGTCTCCCCCGAGTAAGGGCCTAGTAGAAAGCAAACAAACCAGCAAGCTTCAATGCTTAGCGTGATCCACTCAAACATCTTTATCGTGGTTCTTCTGTTCCTTATTGTTGTTCTCAAATTCTTGTTGTGGTTTCCCACCTGTCTCTGCACGCAGTGCACACAATCTGTCCATTGCTGTTCATGGCTGTCCTTTGCTGCCTCCAACAGCATCTTGTCGCAGCATTCCCAGCTTCCCAATTTGCCATTTCTGGCCATTGTCAGAATACCGGTATCGAACAGAACGCATGCTGTGCCCAGTGTCATCTCTACTGTCCACTATCGAACTCCAAAATTCTCAGTTGCAGATGTGTTACTACTACGAACAGCTTGCAAGCCAAAGACTTTTTGGCACAGGCACCGACAGTCAACACCAGGGATCACAGAAACTGATGAGCCGAAACCAAGAGCATGCATTGTGGAACCGTTGCAAGGCGCGCAGCTTCGGGTCCAACGATTGTGGCTCACCTGCACTGCTGAAGCAACTTGAGACAGGCAATGCCGAAGGCTCGGGGAAGACTAATAGCTGGAACTAAATAGGAGTCGGTGACACCATTCGCTGACAAAGCACGGCCCATGGTCTGGAGACTGCCCACGAGGGACCCAGATCGGGCAGGAGACGTGCGCCCAGAAGCCACGACGACATGTTTTGTCGCAGGATGTGCAGTGGGAGGCCGGGAAGAACTTCAGCCATTCCAAGTTCACCCACAGCTACAGTAGCGCTAAGCACAGCTGCTTTTGCATTCCAAAGCCTGCGGCACGCTCATCGTGCGTTTCAAGTCAAGTCCTTTAGACACAGACTAGGCCCATTAAGAAATTCGATGGGCAGTAGTTCGGAAGCATATTCCAGCAGCGTAGCACGCGCGACGGCCGTGAGTGGGCGTAATACCAATTCGGTTCTTGGTCCGGATGGTCTCAAGGCCTAAACTCTCAACAGCTGCAGAACCCTGAAGGCCTTGAAGGCCCTAAAGACCTAAACCCTAACTCCCTAAAGCCCGTTCTTGATTCCCGGCCCGCGTTGCTCTGCCGCCGAAGGCCATCGGCCCAGAAGCAATCCAAACAGCGGTGGACTCTATGCACAAGCAGGTGCCTCTGTCGGAATGGTCATGATCTCGTCTATGCTATCTCATGCCTTTATTGAACAAAGACAAGATTCCTCTTCCCGGGGCACTGCAGATCTTCAGCCTTTGGCTTCAAGGACGCACTGCAACCTCCATGCTGAACCAGTCTCAGGGGAATTACGCTCAAGTCCCCATATGCCACTGCTCTCATCACGTGACACGCAGGCACGTCGCACTAGTTCTGCAGCTGCCTCAGCACCGGCAAGCATGCTTCAAGTCTGTAGCCCGTGGAACGCAATGGAGATCCTCATTTTTCCACAGACGCGCTTTGGGACAGGGAAGTGACACAGGTTCTGCCACCTGGCCACCACGACCTGAGCCTGATCAGGTGGACCAATCTTGCCTAAAAACACGGCTGCGAGCTAGTCAGCCTGGTCGGAAATATGCTATCATTCTGAAGGTGCACAAGGGTTTGTAGCAGGCCACTGGTTAGCTCACAGCGGACATAGCTTGAATCGAAGAAGACAGCAAACAATCTGCACACCAGGTCACATGCATTGCATGGCCATGCATCAACGCGTCGCTAACGGCAATATCTGCCGATGTGCGACAGGGCATTATCTAAGTAAATCCACGCGTCAAAAGCGCACAAAGTCGTAATCCTCTTCCTCCAGTACAGAAACTAGCAAGTGCTTCCTGACGTGCCATGAGTGTCGTGCCGATCAGGCCAAAGGAGCATCATAAGACTTAGGCATTCTCACCCCTGCAGAACTTAGAATTTGAGGTCAAAATCACCCGGGACCTGCCCCAAGACCCCCAGGGACCCTTCAGACTGCGTAACCTGGAACCTTGAAGGCCCCTTCTTGACTGCCTGGACTCCCAAGAAGGTCCTGATCGTAGCAGCGTAGCAGAGCAGTGGACTTTCTAAGGTGGTGTTTACTGAGAGCCTTCTCGCTTAAGAAGGCCGAGGCGGGCCACGTAGCGACAAAATTAGCTGAGCCCAGCATCAGTGGTGCCAGCGTCGTCTTTGGTCATTGCCACACGGACTGATGCATCAATCGAGTCTGGAAGCCTCGGACCATTGTGCAGAGAGGGCTGTTGGCTGTTGGATGCTGAAAAAGTTTGCTTCAGAAGCTCAGCCTGCCACCCCCTGAGACGCCCGAGGATCATGGTCGCCACTAGCAGCAGCTGAGACGGTTGGCCTGAACAAATCAAGTTCGCATGTTGCGCTGGGTCGCATCACACCTCTATGGCATCTATGCACTTACCCATGCGCATGGACTTTGAGGGAGTATGCGGTTGGCTTAGCACCCGACGAAGCGAGGATTACGGAAACATGCCAATCATTCACCTCGCGCCCTTTGCGAGTTAGGGTGCGTCAGATCAGGTCAGCTAGTATTGCCCTCCCATCCTGAGAGAGCTGTTGGCCGAAAAAAGCTACGATGCTCAGAGGTGATCTGTACATCTCCATGGCCAAAAAAAGCAAGATTGAAACCTGCGGTCCGAGACGAACGCCTTGTCAGTGTAACAGCTGGAATGCGGGGGGCAGAGAAATGCCACCATCGCGGATGTGAAGTTTGCATGCAGCGGCTCAATCATGGGAGACATCAAGACATGGTGGATGTCGTGAGCACGATGTAGAACATGCGCAGTGTTCAACGCGACAGGAAATATGAAATGAAGCGTAAAGCCACTGAAAAGTATACCATACCACGAGGACCCAAAGCAATGCTTGTGTCACAGCTCCTTCTTGGTTCAACAAGGTGTTCCGCAACGCCAAAGCCCTTGCACCGAGACTTGACAACCAGGAGCAAGCAGAGGTAGACATGTACTCTGCATGCACTGCACGCTGAGAAGGCTGGCAACCATGCGGCAAGCACCTTCTGAATTACTTCCTGTATGGCTCGGCGGCAAAAAAAGGCTGGGGCTGCAAACCTCAACGCAGCATGCACCGCCAGAGCAAACACCACCATCGTCCAAATCAAGAAATTACTCCCCAGTCTCGTCAGGCAGTACACGGGCCATAGCGGCCATAGTGCTGGGGCCAAAATGGTGCTGCATTCAACAGACACGGGATAGTGATTTGAACTCCAATACTCAAAGCTTTTAGACTCAAAAGAACTCTTGAGCTTTGGGAGGAGCCTTCCAACACAATCGGATTCGCCCTTCTGATGAATTTACCCCACAAGCCACTGGGGATTGGGCTCCAAACTCCACTGAAAGAAAAGGTCTGATTCCTGCCATCGGGTATCGGCGCCGATTGCTCTTGAACAAGCACAGGACACAGCAGCGACACAGCGTTCACATGTCGGAAGTGCTCGTATCCCAGGCTCAGGCCGCAAGTTCCATAGGCCGAAAGCAGCTCGAACAGAACCTTCGCATCAAAGAATAATCCTCAACTGAGGCGAACATGTTAGCCCTTGACTGTAGATTTTGCCTCTCTTCTTGCACTCTTAACTTGCAGCCTTGAAGAAACCAAAGTCTGTGTAGATGCCATCGCTGTCAGGCGACGGGTCCCTCGCTGCCCTGGCTCAAAACGAGAAGAGCGAGGATGGGTGACGCGTACAAAAAGATGAGCCCCATGAACAACACAAAATCGAACTCGAAGCCCCGAACTCAGCCCTTGCCCTTGCGCATCAGGAAATGGAAGGCTTGACACGGGCTGCGGCTTTTGTCTTGCTCGCGGTGCTCTGCCCCTCGTCTGGAAACAGGATGCAAGCTGGGACAGCTCGCCTTTTGCCCCGAAAGGAAGTCCAACACAATCGCGAACCCCTTGGTGATTGTGTGCTTTATGGGTTCCTGACACTGCGATCAGGCCCCCAGCGAGGCTCGCTTCGCCGGATGGATCTGGCCACCTGACTCCTTCGGGTTTTTGGACTTCAAGACTGACTTCAAGCCTTTGTGGAAGGCAACCTTTGGTTTAGGGTTGCATTTGGGGTTCGCTTTTGGGTTCTGGGAAAGGATCCATGAAGGCTTCGGTCTTTGGGCTTCGGGTTGGCAATGGTTCTCCTTGGCCTGCACTTTCTTGGCATCCTTTGTCGGCTTGGCAGCTTCCTTTTGCTTCTTGGCCTGGGCCCCCGGAAAGGGTTAAGGAGCAAAAGGATTTAAAGAGCTGATACTTCCAAGGTCCTCAAAAAGGAAACTGCCCAAAGCAAAGCGCACTTCCTCAGAGATTTAGCCACTGGCTTCTCGACCTCCTCGTCTTGGGCACTGGGAAGCGGCACGTAGGACTTCTTGGCCTCTTCGTACGCGGCCTTCTTTGCCTCGTACTCCTCCTGGAAGACCTTCTTCTTGTCCTCGCCGAGCTCCTTCCATCTGTCGGAAGCCAACTTGGTGACGGCGGTGACCGGCTTGCCTTTGCACTCCTCGGTGAACGCCGCCCGGTTCTTGGCAAGGAAGCAGCCGAAGGCACCCCCTGCAGGCTTCTTTGGTGCATCCGGATCCTTCTTGGGCTTCGCAGACTTCTCCGCCTTCCTCTTCGTACTCTTCTTCTCGCCGCCTGCTTCGAGGAAAGCGGCCATATCTGCCTCGAACTTGACCTTGGTGTCATCAAACTTCTTTTGGTAGATAGCCTTGGTGTCCTCACTGAGGGCCTTGAAGCGGGATCCGGCAAGCTTGCCCACCTCGCTTGCCGGCTTCCCCGGACCCAACTCCTTCTGCAACTCAGCACGATGCTCCGCCAGCCAGGCGCCGTAGGCTCCGCCGACTGGCTTCTTGGGCTGCTCACCGGCCATGGCTGGGGAACAACGAGCGCGAAGTCTAGCACTGGAGTCACAGGAGCGGGTCTGCCTTTGAGACGGCACCGGCAGAAAACAGTGTTTCTGGGTGAGCCTTTAGCATCAAGTAAACCCCAAAAAACAACCTGGGCCCACACCCCAAACCCACAAGATGTCAGGACCCCGTGCTTCTCCTGTGTTCACAAGGCTGTTCCTTCCATCACGCCTGGCCTGGCGAAACTGCTCTGTTCGAAGCAACAGATCAGAAAGCATATCACCTTAGATGCGTGCCATGCTCCTGCCATCCGCACCTACAGGCGGCTGACGGGAAACTGCTGTGATGATGCAAAACCGATCCCTGCCAACCCCGAAGTCAGCCCTTGCGCATCAGGAAATGGAAGGCTTGACACGGGTTGCGGCTTTTGTCTTGCTCGCGGTGCTCTGCCCCTCGTCTGGAAACAGGATGCAAGCTGGGACAGCTCGCCTTTTGCCCCGAAAGGAAGTCCAACACAATCGCGAACCCCTTGGTGATTGTGTGCTTTATGGGTTCCTGACACTGCGATCAGGCCCCCAGCGAGGCTCGCTTCGCCGGATGGATCTGGCCACCTGACTCCTTCGGGTTTTTGGACTTCAAGACTGACTTCAAGCCTTTGTGGAAGGCAACCTTTGGTTTAGGGTTGCATTTGGGGTTCGCTTTTGGGTTCTGGGAAAGGATCCATGAAGGCTTCGGTCTTGGGGCTTCGGGTTGGCAATGGTTCTCCTTGGCCTGCACTTTCTTGGCATCCTTTGTCGGCTTGGCAGCTTCCTTTTGCTTCTTGGCCTGGGCCCCCGGAAAGGGTTAAGGAGCAAAAGGATTTAAAGAGCTGGTACTTCCAAGGTCCTCAAAAAGGAAACTGCCCAAAGCAAAGCGCACTTCCTCAGTGATTTAGCCACTGGCTTCTCGACCTCCTCGTCTTGGGCACTGGGAAGCGGCACGTAGGACTTCTTGGCCTCTTCGTACGCGGCCTTCTTTGCCTCGTACTCCTCCTGGAAGACCTTCTTCTTGTCCTCGCCGAGCTCCTTCCATCTGTCGGAAGCCAACTTGGTGACGGCGGTGACCGGCTTGCCTTTGCACTCCTCGGTGAACGCCGCCCGGTTCTTGGCAAGGAAGCAGCCGAAGGCACCCCCTGCAGGCTTCTTTGGTGCATCCGGATCCTTCTTGGGCTTCGCAGACTTCTCCGCCTTCCTCTTCGTACTCTTCTTCTCGCCGCCTGCTTCGAGGAAAGCGGCCATATCTGCCTCGAACTTGACCTTGGTGTCATCAAACTTCTTTTGGTAGATAGCCTTGGTGTCCTCACTGAGGGCCTTGAAGCGGGATCCGGCAAGCTTGCCCACCTCGCTTGCCGGCTTCCCCGGACCCAACTCCTTCTGCAACTCAGCACGATGCTCCGCCAGCCAGGCGCCGTAGGCTCCGCCGACTGGCTTCTTGGGCTGCTCACCGGCCATGGCTGGGGAACAACGAGCGCGAAGTCTAGCACTGGAGTCACAGGAGCGGGTCTGCCTTTGAGACGGCACCGGCAGAAAACAGTGTTTCTGGGTGAGCCTTTAGCATCAAGTAAACCCCAAAAAACAACCTGGGCCCACACCCCAAACCCACAAGATGTCAGGACCCCGTGCTTCTCCTGTGTTCACAAGGCTGTTCCTTCCATCACGCCTGGCCTGGCGAAACTGCTCTGTTCGAAGCAACAGATCAGAAAGCATATCACCTTAGATGCGTGCCATGCTCCTGCCATGCGCACCTACACATGGAGAATGCTGTGATGACAAACATCAGAGGCACTCAGTTGCGGACCACAAGGTATGTTGCGTCTTGGGTCAAGTATCTTCGTGCCTATCAGGAAGCAGCGGTGCTTCGGATATCACCGAACTAAATAGAATCCGCTGCGAGTGTCCGGTCAGCCACTGCAACAATGGTAGCCTGGCCCTTCAGAGAGTTCTCCGACCCAGTCAAGACCGTCTCCTCGACACCTTCCACCCTGCCCGTGATGTCCAGCTCCTGCCTGGGATGAAAAAGATACCAAGAGGACATTCAGTGATTCAGCGATTCACCACAAAGCAAGGACCCTGAAGCGTAGTCCCGTGCACGTATTTGACTAGGAAACTGCTCTCGAGACAGAAACATCGGTTCAACACGGGAAAAGGCCTGCAACAGTCAGTTTTTACAACTGGCCGGAACCCTGAACTTGCAGACGAGGAAGCATCGCTGCTGAGAGCCGCATGGTAACAACCTCGGACATTGGTTTTAGACAACTCTGGACGTGCTTGGACATATTGAAGCACATGTTCTGACATATAGTGAGTGATCGTAGCCTTCCTTCAGGCCAGGGCGGTGGGCGTTGTGGAGAAATACATCCTTGCGCAATGCAAGTCACAGTAATCCACTTCAACGCCACTTCCTCTTCAAAAAGGTAATTTTGGCGTGGGGCATCACGGCCATGAAGAAGGTCGTACCCTGCGAGAGCCTAATCAGCATCAATACGATGTTCCGGAACTTCGGAGGAGTCTCGAGCAGAACTGCCGGACACTCTGAAACTTCAAAAGTATTATAGCTAAGCAGCTGAGCAATGTTGACCGAGTTCATTCCTGCATGTTCATAACTCTCTGACTACGTGCACGTCATTGTCGGATCTACAGCATGCCTGCGGTGCGTGTGGAGACCGTCTGGAAACTGAGCACAGCGACAAGCTCTCATGAAGGGGCTGCATCAAAGCTCTGTACATGCAATCTTGCCCTGTCAAGCCCTCTGCTGAGCCCGAAGCAAGGCGTTGCCCAAGATTTCATGGGCATGCAGCCCCTTGAAAGCCGGGCTGTGAAAATCCTCAACGCATCTTGCATGGATTCAAGCATTCACTACGATGGGACATTTGATTGCCGCTCAATGATTGCTGCTCACTCGGCAGTGAAGCCCTAACTGGCAGTACACAACAAGCACCGGCCTGGATCAGGATCACGAGGGTGCCCAAAATGTTTAGGCCGACGACAACCAGCATTAGCCACATGGTGTGGACAGCCGGGAACATGTGCCTTGCCCAGTTCGCAGGCAAACAACATGCTGCACAGCTCATCGCATCTTCCAAGGAACTTGCGTGAAGCAACGGCGCGGGTGCTCCATCAGAAAATCCAGGACTCTTCTGGTCTCAGAATGAGGCCTGAGCAGCACTTCAGACTTCAGCAACTTCACATCAGCGCAACGTGCAGCAACGTGCGGCAACGTGCGGCAACGTGCCACGCCGTGCCGCAACGTGCCGCAACGTGCCGCAACGTGCCGCAACGTGCCGCAACTGTGGACCCCTTGTCCGTGCCAATCTCACGCCGATCACATGCCAGCACAGTGGATCTAGGTCTGGCACCGCGTACTCCGTCTCCAGATCGCAGCGATTAGCCGCACCTGGCTTCAGCGCAAGGGCCGACATGCTGGTTATGGAGGCGAGTTGGCATGCCAAGGCATGCTAGAAAGCGCAAGAATCTTAGTCCTACGACACAGAGCAGCACAAAGGTGCAAGCAGTGTCACGTGCGGTGGCACCATGATAGGTAGCCCCGTATTCCCCAAGACGATCAGAACCTCAGCACAAGGGACTGGTGGGAATATGCGGGAATGCTTCTTAGGATGAACCTCAGAACAATGGTGGCACGCTTCAGCCTGACACTCAACTGGCGAGTTTGACTTGTCTTCAGTTGGCTTGAGCACACGGCGCCAACTGTGGTGAGAAGTATCGGGCTTCTCACAAAGTCCTGAGCCGCATCGCGATTTCAGGATCTCAGCATTCGACTAGATCGACGGGCTCGTCATTTTTGAGCCGCACATTACCGGATCTCACGAGTTCGCGACCATGACCGAGGATGGCGTCATGACCTCAGGGCACGCACACTCCCAAAGTGTCCCAGGTCTGGGCTTGGCTACGGCTGACTTATCATGTCACACTGGTACGGGCAGCCGATCGCAGCCTTGTCTGAATGCACAGCAGAAGGACAAAGATCCTGGCCAAACCATTGTTCTGAAAGCTGGACACGGAAAGGTACAGTGCCTTGGCAGTGTGAAATGCGTCGAGGCTTGATTGTGCTGCGCACACCAAGATGCAGTGCAACCTAATTCGAACCAGGCCGCATGGTACAGGGGATGGAGACCCTCCCTGTGAAACTTCTCCTCCAAGAGCGTTGACCAATCACCGGCAAGAAAAGCATAGCATCCAGGCAGAAGGTGGATTGTCAGACGTCTGCTGTGGCTCATCTCCAATTTCTAGCTCGAGATGAGCTCTCTTGCAAGAAAGGCTTCGTGGGCAAACTCTCCTGGATTTCGTTTTGCCGAATCTTGAAGTACAGGTAAAAGACGAGCGCACCAAGAAAATGGCTGACTAACCTGGGTGCTGCTAGCAAGCGGCATATCGCAGAGTAAGAAGTACTTTGCCTTCGAGGCATGGCCAGCAATAAAGCATCCGAGAATATTTGCAGCTGTGGAGCCAGTACCCCAGCATGATTTTCAGCACTTTTCCAAGTGCCTGGCACATGACTCCCTTTCTCCGCCACAAGCTTACCACTATGCGCAAGAGGCCCAGGACTGCCTTGTACTCCATTCGATGCTTCCTTGCCAAAGCCCGGCTGCAGGTGCCCCTTGCGTCCATGATACATTTCACACTTCAGGCTCCCGTCACCTGCGTTGCTTCATTGATTCACTGAAGACTGGCTTCAAAGAGAATAACGATTCAGATACGCTCCTCCCTGGGCCCATCTGAGGCCGTCGCACTTTGGGACTGTAATGATCAGCCTGCCAAGACCAGCGACAGCTGGCCAAGCCAAAAGCCCCAAGGAGCTTAACGGCGTCGCGACAACAGAAAAACTTGACGCTGCTTCTTCTTCTTCTTCTTCGCAAAGCCGTCCTTTCTCAAATGCTGTTCTTGTTTGGCACCCAGAGCCTCCTCCGCAGACGTCTGCCTAGGTGCCTCGGCCGCTTCACACGCTTCACTTTGACATCACAAGACCACGAAGACGCTCTGAATCGCTCTGCATTTACCTGCGGCTGAGTCTCCCATCGCACTGCACCTTGAGCATGGCCATCATGATTGATGTGATGCACGTAGGTCTCCTTTGTGGGCAAGGGCAAGGGCAGAGGCCGCGACACACCTTTTTAATTGAAGTCAGTCTCAGCATGTCTCAGCTTCAAGCTGGAACACCTGGATCAGAAAGCGAGCGTGGCCTAGGCCCAAAAGGTTGTACATGTGACTTGCGACTGCAATTGCAGTCTGTTCAAACATCTTCCCAGCTTTCCAGAGCTGCAGCAGACAAGGCCTACAACTTTTCAGATCCTCTTGGTTCCAAACATTTAGAGACAGGATAATAAAGGTATCTCCATGACTGAAACTGCATTGAGCACATGACTCTGATACACAGACCCAGCATAGCGATTGGTTTAACTCGAGGGTACCAAGCGACGCTTGTCATTATCTTGAGGCCCAGGCAGACTCACCAGTTTACCCGATGAAAGGATCCTGAAATGCCAACATGCCCACTCTAGGAACGCTCCACAAGGACAGATGTTGTGCCAAGTGCACCCGGTGCTTGCCGGTGCTTGCTCAGCTACGGAGTAACAGAAGTCCTGCTCTGCCGATCCTGTTCCTGTCCAGACAGCAGCAAGTTGGACGAAATGTATTGCTGCACCCGCAAAAGAGTTGTGATAAACGGAGTTGCACCCCAGCCTGCACAAACTTCTGCCAGGAAGCCATCTTGGCTTGCATTCGAAAAGAGTTCTGCCTGGCACTGTTGCAAACATGTCTTGTTTGTTCTTCTCTGCATGGGTGCACACACACACACCCACACACAACAATCAGCTTTCTTTTTTACTGTATGGGGCAAGCTTTGCAGTGCCCTTGCAATCTGCAAGCAAGACTATTGCAAGCAAGACTATCAAGACTGGTACGTACAAACAATTTGTGACAGGATGCCATGCTCGAACTAAGCCAATGATGCTCGAAGTAAGCCAATGGACACTGGCTTAGTTCTAGCTGCCGCATGAACCTGAACTGCTGGATTGGAGAATCAATGACACAAAGACGCCAAGCTTGTTCCATTGCAGTTCCTGGTATTCATAGGTGCGGCTGCTGCCAGAATGGAAACATTCGACCTTCCCGTTTTGGGAAGTCTGCATAAGTATGACAAATATATACCCAAGTTCACTCTTTTTTGCTGTGAACATTGACACCTGGCTCTTCACGCGAGCATCGATCCTGACGAAACCAGAACCAGCACCCGGCATGTCTGAAGCAACTACTTGTAGCTTTTTCAGACGCCCCGTCCTCCTGTTCTCGGGCATACGCAAACCAAAGGCTGCCCGTCAGCACCAGAAGAACACCCAAACCGCTCGAGAGCGTGAGGGCCTGAGAGCAACGCCCCAAAATTCAGATTCTGCTAGAGGAAACATCCCAAGTGACAACTCAAGGCTACTAACATCTTTCGAGGCACAAGGACTGCGGAGCTAAGCCAAGGCAGCGCTGGTCAGCCACTTCAGGCAGCTCTGAGGCGAGGACCGTACCCTGCATCCAAAACCCAGCAACAATCACGATGCACAACCGCCTGCGGATGCGAGTAGACTGAAGAGAAACTCCGCAGCACACATCAGACCTTTCATCATGCCGCTGCTGTGAGAGGGGTCTTGCATCTTGCCTTAACGTGTCTATCACGGCGAAGCTCAGAGGCCGGAAGCTCTGCAGGATTGTAAAGGACGCACTTTGCTCGATGAAGTAGAGCATTCCATCCTCGGGCAAGACTCTTGAGCAAGTGCGCGGCATGTCCATGGTAGCCTACGCAACATTTCTAGCGCAGCTCAAGCTATATCAGCACTGATATTGCCAGGTGATGTCATGTTGGCCCGATAGCTTGGACCGGGCAACAACGCAACGCAACCTTCAGTCACTCTACAGCAGCTCTACTGGTTAATTGACCAAAATGGGTCACACCCCCAACAAATGCAGCAAGACCTGACCTATGGAAACCTGACGAGTTCTCGCATGAACCTCTTTATCGAAGACAGACAGGTTGGATTGGAATCCGATAGGCAGCATATCGCTACTTCGCCACCTGTCACAATTTCGTCTGGACCCCTGGGGGCGAGGTCGGAACCTAAACATCCCTGAACCCCGAACCCTGAGTGACCGACACGGACCCTACAGCGTCTGACTGCTCCTAGAATAGTCCCCGAGCCGGAAGGGGAGTGACTGTTTTCCCTGCTCGTAGCACGGAAAATCCAAGTTTTGCGCTTCCACGCAATATGACAGCAGGCATAGATGGCATACAAAGCAAAACGTTCCAGTGACCGAAAAGCATGGGATCGAACTCACATCACATTTCATGGGAGCGAGGATTTTTTTTGTCAATTTTTCTGGTTTTTTTTTGTGATGTTTTTTGTTTTTCCTTGCTTTTCTTTTGGTTTTCTGAACATGCCCTCTGGTTCTGCCTATCCTCCTCCTCTGGTTGGAATTCTTTTCTGGGTTTTTTCCTGGTATTTTGGTGAATTTTGCTGGTTTTCAGCTTCCGCAGGCTCCTCAGCGGTACCGCATGTCCGGAACCTGACCACATCTAATGACCCTTGGGGTAGCAAGACTAAAAGCACGCGTGCACACCGGGAATTCCCCCCCCCCCCCATTTGCAAACACAATCCCGCAAGATGAGTTTTGCAAGGGATTCGTATGAACCAGAAGCACGCTTGGGCGGCTTATAAAAAAGCGGGGGGTTGGGGGGGGCGCAGCCCCCCCCATTTGCAAACACAATAGTTTTCAAATGGGATTTGTTTGATCTAACAGCTAGGCAAAAACAACATCGGACCCCGGCTAGAGCCGTAATCCCTTACCTCAAACACTCAAACCCTAAACCCTAATTACAAACCTAAATCCTTCGGGTTTACTACTGCCCGGCCGCTGTGCCGAAGGGCGTTTGTTGTATGCTCACAGGTTCCACATACGGGTTTTGGGGGTCTAGGGTTTATGGTTTAAGGCGTAGGGTCTTTAGGGTCAACCAAGAACGTGCGAAGCGAGCGGAACCCTAAACTCCTTCCATCCTTCCTTTCTTCCTTTCTTTCTTTTTTTGTTTTATGTATTTCGTTCGTGTTTTTTGTATTTCTTGCTTTCTTGCTCTCTTTATTTATTTCTCTCGTTCTTTCTTTCTTTGTTCCTTTCTTTCTTCCTCACTTCCATCCTTTATTTCTTTATTTATTTTATTATTCTGTCTTGCTGTATTTCTTTCTTTCCTTTATTCCTCTGTTCCTTCCTTTGTTTTTTTCTTTATTGCTTTCTTGCTGTCGTTGTTTCTCTCATTCTTTCTTGTGTTTTTCTTTATTCCTTTATTTCTTCCTCCATTCCTGCCTTTCCTTTTGGCTTTCTCTCTTTCTTGATTTGTTGTCCTTCTTTCTTTCTTTCTGTCTTTCTTTCTAGTCCTGCCTTTCTTTCTTTCTTTCTTGATTTTCTGTCTTTCTTTCTATTCCTGCCTTTCTTTCTTTCTGTATTTCTTTCTATCTTTCTTTCTATTCCTGCCTGTGTTTCTTTCTTTCTTTCTTGCAGTCTTTCTTTCTATTCCTGTCTTTCTTTCTTTGTTTCCTTGTTTTTTCTTCCTCTTGCTTCCTTCCTTTCTGTCTTTCTTTGTTTATTTCTTTCTTTCTTCCTGTCTTCCTGCCTTCCTGCCTTCCTTCCTTTCTTTCGTGCCTTAAATTTGACAAAAAACAAGAAAAAACAGAAAAACCACAAAAAAAAAAAAAAAAACACGGTACCCCATTTCATGCTATCGGAAGGATGTTGGAGGCAATCCATCCATGACTTTTCGCAGACACTTCGCGAGACCTCATTGTTGAGGACGAGCATCACAGAATCAAGATGAATCAACCTAGGTACCTATGGTCAAAGGAGCCACTAAGGAGGTTTTAAGACAGTACCGCCTGGGCCCCCCGTCTGTTGCGGCCAACAAGAAGATTCTGTTTCGCGTCCTTACAGAGTTCATCGTGCAACAAATTCAAAAGAGAGAGAGAGAGAGAGAGAGGCGAGGGCGAGGCAAACTTGCGTTCAACTCTTGCAGTTGTTCTCTCACTTTGGCTGTGTCTCCGGAGAGCCCTAAGCCCAGCACTCGACGGTGGCCAGCGCGAAATGGCCTCTTAGTAATCACAGTGCAGCAACCCCACGCCGTCCCTGTCAGCAACGCCCCAGCTGACCAGCTCTAAGCATGATGCCCATCAACCGCTCCAGGCCGCCACCGACAAGCCTGCAGGCTTTCTGTTCAGATGCTTGCGTGTGGCAACCAGAAACCGAGCTCCAAAAAGACGGGGTACTGTCAGAGGTCATCAACAGTTCGGGAAAAGGAAGCACGCACCCAGGCTCACAAACGAAGCCACGAAAGAGGCACAAAGTGAGCTCCCTGGACTGAGGTCCGATAACAAGGTGAGCAATCTCTCTCAAGGATCTAAAACCCCCCCCTGGGAAATTCACTGGTACAGGCACGGATTTTGTGCACAGGCTTCACGAGGGGAATGTAAGCATGTAAGCATAAAACATGTAAGCAAGGGTCGGCTGGCAATGATCTGCACCTGAGCATCCCCGTACTGAGAACTGATCTCAGGCTTTGGCCAGATCGGCAGCAAGGTGAAAAGCGCAAACAGGCAAGAGGCGAACTGCAGCTCAAACCTGACTCTGCCCCGGCTGGCGTGCTGCACATACTGCGCTGAACAGCACAGTGCAGATGCTCAGCTCATCGCGCATGAGGTGGATTCGTCTTGTCAGCCACATGTTTGGCCTTCTGCTACAGGACATGACACCCAAGTAGATGCGACGGGGCTGCGAAAGCCCCAACTTGTGGCAAAGAGTGTCTTGAGAACTTGAGAATTGCACATGCCTTGCTTTGGCAGGTCTTGGCGCTGTTCTTCGGTGCCCCTCCCCCCCTCCCCCCCCCATCGCCCCCGGCTTAAGATTTGCTGGGTGGTCACATCCACTTCCCTGAGTGGGGGCTCCGGGACGTCCCACTTGGGCGCCTTGAACGCCAGAATCGTGCTCACCCCGTAGATGCAAAGCAGACATAGCTACTGGGTGAGGTAAAAAGAACCAGCAGAAACAATGACAAGTTGTCGCCAAAAATCGTGACGCAGCTGAAGCTCGTCGGACATGGGTTTGTCGGCGGGGGGGGGGGGGAGGGAGGGGGGGGGGAAATTCTGGTTTATGCCGAAACATATCAAATTCGAAGTGGGGTTGCCTCTTGTGTGAACACAGCTCAAGCAGCGCCCTGAATCCGAACCTGTGTTGAAACGAGGCAAGGCTACTGTTGCTAGCGGTATGCTCTCTTAGCTCACCTGAACCATTTCTTGGTCCAATTCCCTCGTAGCTGTGCTTCAATGATGCGGGTTTGGATTTTGTCGGATGCCTCCAACCATACATGGGTTTCGATGCCAACGGGGACTCACGGCATGTTGTCAGGCTTTGATGCCCAGTGGCCCAGCCTCGTCGTTTGCAATTGACCACAGGTTACAGGCTTTTGCCCAGTGGTTTATGGGGGTGACGGAAAAATTCGGAAACCAGAGTTAAACCGAATACGAGAGCGGGTTTCTGACGCTCTGGCTTTGCGGACAAATTTCCCCCCACCCACCCCACCCTCAGTTTCTGATGCACAGTTTCGGATTCGCCGCCCTGGTTTGGAATGCGAAGTTTCTAATGCGGCCAGCTTCTGATTTACCGTTTCTGATTCGCGTTGGTTGCTGATTGGTAGT